TTTTTTTTGGCCTTAGTTCGGCACGGGATGATGTCTAGCTGCAACCAGTCTGAGTAGTATATGCATCAGCAGTATGGTATTGACACCAGAGTAAGAAATTCTGATTTATATCCGTCAAAGTCCCCGACGGTACTTTTGAATCAGGGAACCTTACAGTGGGATATAGGCACCCCACGCAATTTCTCTCATAAAAAATAATTAGGTAAATTTTGGATTATTTATGCAATTGGTAAAATTGGTCTGTAAGTTGTTAATAAACAGTGACTCTGAACTCTTTTCATTGTCTTTCGTTTTCAGTGCTCAGAGAGAGCACCGCTAATTATCAGCTCAATGAAGTTGAAATATTGTTTGACCAACAAGCATAACAGGCTTAATTACAATTTTATTAATTACGATCTATTTTATAGTTCGTGGGTAAATACATTTTGCGATCAGAAACATTGAATTTGGAAAACTTAAACTAAACATTAATATAGACCTATACTAAATATCAAAGATCCACATGCTTAGCCTATAATGGTGCTTAGAGACTTCAGCTGTTTAGCACTAATAAAAATGCTTAGGTATTTCAATACAACAATTAACTAATTTTTTTTATCTTAAACACGTCAAGCAAAATCGAAAGCACATTAATAAGACTAAACATTTTTAGTTGTAAATATAGTGTGTAGACCTTTACATTATGTCATGGTATCATTCACTGTGACAGGAAATACACAAACCAGTCCTATTTTCCAATTTAATACGCATGGATTTTTTAAATATATTTTCAGTTGAATCCATTAGCGAAAAGCTGCTCGATCAAGCTTTTACCTTGTTGGCGGATGGGATTAAGGATATACGCAAAAGTATTCAAGGTTAGTACTCTGTAATTAGATACACCCAGCAAAAAATATGTTTTTTCCTAAATATTGGGGTTTTTTTTAATTACACAAAAACATAAAAATTATATGCCATCGAAATTCCATTTCTCTTTTTAATTATCACTGTAATTATGTCATATGTCACTATTATTATTAGGCGAGAATTCTTTTATACCCTTTTTTCGCGAATTTATTTTTTTTTTCAAAGGTCGCTGGAAGAGGGTGAAAAAAATAAAAATTAAATTTTGTTTTCTTATTTAGCAAATGGTTTTGCCAAAATGTTTTGAATTTGATAATCCACAAGTAATAGGCCTACATGATCAATATAAATCCGGTACTACTGAACAGTGGGTGGTACATTGCGTATAACAACCACAACTTTTATTCATCAATACATCAATTTGTTTGAATTACAGTCATTCTGCATTACAGCATTTTTGATATTTTACCTTTTTTCTTCATTTTCTTATTTTTTTAACTTCTTTATTCTTATATAAACAATAAAATATGCAAATTATGTCGTCTAATTAAAATCATAACAATTTTGCACTCAATGAATGTTAATACATCAAGTTGTTTGAATTACAGTCATTCTGCATTACAGCATTTTTGATATTTTACCTTTTTTCTTCATTTTCTTATTTTTTAAACTTCTTTATTCTTATATAAACAATAAAATATGCAAATTATGTCGTCTAATTAAAATCATAACAATTTTGCACTCAATGAATGTTAAATGAAAATTAAAGAAAAAAAAATTAGTAAGCCTACATTGGTATAACAATGTGAAAACATTAATTGATTTTAATATATATATTTTTCAGATATTCCCATCCATGGAGATCTGGTATATCATGCCGTAACCGTGTTAACGAAAATAGTCAACGATGTATGGGAAAGAATTCAAGGTTAGTACTTGGGTATTGGATGTATATATATACATATTATATATATATAAATATATATACACATATGTAAACAAATAGATGAATAATAATAACAATACTGGAATAGGAACATGTAATGACGTCACATAGAGCAAAAACATCACTCTTATGATTCCTGACATCGAAATCGAAAGTTGGGGTAGAGAAGACTATACTATTGAAAGTAGTTTAAGAAATAAGTAGGCTGTGTTAACATGTCGGAAATTATTCTATTTATCAACATAAATCCTAAATATATGGCCTGTTTAGGTTTCTTTCACTTTAATGATCATAGTTTTGTACTTACATTTCAATTATTTATTTCTTTTTCCACTGGGTAACCTGATCAGTGCAAAAGCATGGTTATTAATCGTTACCTTACATTTCGGCTTCAGGCCTAGATGCGAAAATAACGGGATAATTTCCGATAGAAATAACACTATACAATAATTTAGTAAAAACATACGATAATACATTACAGTAGCAATCAATATTCCTGCCCCGGAACTTAGACTCAGAACCAGGATGCGGCGGGGTGTCAGAAGAAAATAATATATTTTACAATAAACAATTTCATAAATTAGGCCAAAAAAAAAAATTGTGTGTTGGCCACGTGGGAAAATCCAAAAACTGGGTAGGTCGGTAGGAAAACTTGTTTTTTTAATTTTTTTTTTTTTTTTTTAACAACCGCTTAAAAAGTAAAAAATTACACAAATATACAACAATTTTGGATTCGCATCGCGTACCATCAAGTAAAATAGGCTTTGCCTTGGCCCCCTAGCCTGACCAAGGCTATTTCAGTACCTGTCTCTTATACACATCTAGACTATACTATTGAAAGTAGTTTAAGAAATAAGTAGGCTGTGTTAACATGTCGGAAATTATTCTATTTATCAACATAAATCCTAAATATATGGCCTGTTTAGGTTTCTTTCACTTTAATGATCATAGTTTTGTACTTACATTTCAATTATTTATTTCTTTTTCCACTGGGTAACCTGATCAGTGCAAAAGCATGGTTATTAATCGTTACCTTACATTTCGGCTTCAGGCCTAGACGCGAAAATAACGGGATAATTTCCGATAGAAATAACACTGTACAATAATTTAGTAAAAACATACGATAATACATTACAGTAGCAATCAATATTCCTGCCCCGGAACTTAGACTCAGAACCAGGATGCGGCGGGGTGTCAGTAGAAAATAATATATTTTACAATAAACAATTTCATAAGTTAGGCCAAAAAAAAGGTAGGAAAACTTGTTTTTTTATTTTTTATTTTTTTAACAACCAAAAATATGTTTACGCTTAAAAAGTAAAAAATTACACAAATATACAACAATTTTGGATTCGCATCGCGTACCATCAAGTAAAATAGGCTTTGCCTTGGCCCCCTAGCCTGACCAAGGCTATTTCAGTCTTATTTTCAAGGGTGAAAAAAGCTAAAATGCCGACCTTGAATTTGGTAAAATTTGGATCGGTCGGGCGTAGCCAACAAAAAATTCTTTTTTTTGGTTTTTTTTGGCCTTAGTTCGGCCCGGGATGATGTCTAGCTGCAACCAGTCTGAGTAGTATATGCATCAGCAGTATGGTATTGACATCAGAGTAAGAAATGCTGATTTATATCCGTCAAAGTCCCCGACGGTACTTTTGAATCAGGGAACCTTACAGTGGGATATAGGCACCCCACGCACTTTCTCTCATAAAAAATAATTAGGTAAATTTTGGATTATTTATGCAATGCAGGATTTAGGGTGACAATGATAAACGCCCTTATATTTTTCAGTAGGTCTACATAGATATAGCGCAACAGAGCGACGGTTTGTAATCTCAGATTATCTTATTGTTATTATTGTGTAATTAATGTTATTTTTATTGTTAGATGAATCCATTGACAGAACGATGCTATTACGTGTGATTTCAATCTTGATGCAAAGGCTTCAATATATGCTTAATGATAAACGAGGTAAATGTTTTGGTATTCAGTTGGAAGTTAAATTAACTACACATATTTTGATGTCATTAAAAAATGTTAAAGTTTAAAGACCTATTCAACCTATTATGTAAAATACTAAAAATTAGTGTGATTACCAATGAACATAGTATGACTCAATCTAATTGAATGTATGAGGCTTTACTAATTGCGGGTTTTCCCCTCTTTGATTCCTACTTATTAGGCCTAGATATACCCGATAAAGAGAAATATCAATGTTTCAAGAACCATACCTTAGAAGATATAAAAATCTTAGTTAAAACGTCCGCTAATACCAATGAATCTACTATTGTAAATGGAACCAACTACACCGTTGGGACAGAGACAAAAAAAGCCAACATGAGAAGTATCAAAAACTGACTAGTGACAGTCCCATTATCAGACCAAAGTTGTGAGTAGCTATATTAATTCATACCGTTAAATAGTTTTGATAAAACGATCCATGTATATTTAGACAGGTTATTTATTTATACCTTAAGGATTATCTTAATGTTTTAAAAAGTATATCCATACACCCTAATGGGAGAAGCAAAATTGAATTCATTACTTCTACATAATACATCATATACAAAATTATTTAATACTTATACCATGGAGGAAATCCTCCATGCTTATTCTAAATCGTGAGTACTTATAATTCATAACATATTAATATTTTTGACAACATGATCCATGAATTGTTCTACACGTTATTTATGTATAACTGAAGGAATATCCTAAATGTTTTAAAAAAGTATTTGTCATAAAAAATAACACAATAATTGTAGAAAGTCGAATTGAATTTATTACTCTATAATATATCTTATAGAAATATAAGTATTAATATACTGACGAACGAGTAGGGGTTCTGTTTTTTATGATTGATACTACAGGTCAAAAGTTATATTGTATATTTATTATATTACAATAGGTTATCAAATATTCCTATAATTTTTTATTCATTTCGCTTTATCCAGACGAGGTGACGAAGACAGTCAGTTTAAAACGCTTTCAATCATTGATACCGATCACACAACTGATGCTAATAATGACTCCGTATCTAAGTTGAAAAAAGGTGAAGAAGGTCAGCTTGAGACGCCCTCGGTCACTTGTCACCCAACTGATGCTAAGAATGACTCGCTATTCAAGTTAAAAGAAGGTGAAGAGAATCAACTTGATGCTAAGATTGACTGGCAATCTAAGTTGGATGACAGTGAAGAGACACAACCTGAGAGGCCGCCAATCCCCGTCAACCAAAGTTATGCCAAAAATGACTCACTATCCAAGTTAGATAAATGTGAAGAGAAACAATCTGAGACTCCCTCACTCACTGATCGCTCAACTGACGCTAAGAATGACTCATTATCCAAGTTGAATGACGGTGAAGATAATCAAACTGAGACATCCTCTGATCTTTCAAAAGCGTGTAAGGTTGGTTCAGTATCCAAGTCGGAGGAAGGCGAAGATTGTGAATATATGCCTTCCATCATCGATAACTCACCTGATACTGGGGATGACGCGGAACGTTGGACGCCCCCTCTGTCCAATAACTTGAATAATTTGATGGGACGTAACACACTACCCAATTGGAATGAAGAGAGAAAAAGCCACCACGAGAAAATTCGAAAATCAACTAACATTCCTATAATCAGTTTGAAATTGTGAGTACTCATACTAATTTACAACTAATAATTATTTTGCTATAAATTTCCATGTTTATACTCGAAGGAATATTTTAATATTCTAAAAGGTGCCATACTATAATAAAATAAAAAAATACAATAGGAGGAATCGTATTGAATTTATTACCTATAATTATTAACTTACTGTCTTTTAATTTACAGTACATGATTTAATTATGAATATGCTGACCAACGAGTGAATTGTTCTGTTTTATGGTATATTTTAACATTGGCGATTATAAGTTATCTTCTTTTTACTATATAAATTTATATAATTTGCTGAAACAATTTCTCTTATTTCGTTTTGTAGGGGCATTGATGTATTGCTTTCTTGGATATTTTTTATGTTGTTAGCCGACATTGGTATTGCCAGTGCGAAACCCGGATTCACCTTCGAACCACCACCGACCCATCTTGCCACAGAAGGGGAAAGTGTGTCACTTGACTGTATCGTAAATACAGAAGCAAAATCGTATAAAGTCGTTTGGACAAAAGACTCGAAATGTATAGATAATCCAGCGTACTTTGATCCAAATCGCTTCATTGAAACAAAGGTTGACGATCGGCATTACAAGTTAAAAATACATCCGTTGAAGAGGGAAGATGAAGGTGCATACAAATGCGTTGGTCTATCCCAGGACATGGTAGGTAAAGCTATATTCTCCTCTGGCTGTCAGTTGCGTGTGATGAAGGTCCCTGGTCCTCAATACCCAGAGGTATTTCTGTCAAAGAGTCAGTATAGTATTGGTGACGATATTGTTGCTCACTGTTTCAGCGAGCGCGTTGACCAACCACCAACGATAACCTGGATTCCTAATTCTGTATCAACTGAGCCATTTGAGAATAGTTCTCATGTCGGTGTATCTACCCACCTTGAAGCAAGTAAAGAAGTCAATCAAACGACCCTCCTTTGCAAAATGATCGTACATGGTGTGGAAGTACCACTATTCAAAGTATCTGTGCCGATTGTAGTAAAACCTTTCTTAGAAGAAGTTGTTATAAATAGCTCTAAAAGCACACTCACAGCTGCAGTCTCAGCCCATACCTTTGCAGATAGCACCATGAAACCTACATTTGGTTCAGGAGGGGAAATTCAACATGCATCATTAATAACAATATTTACATGTTTGGTTGTGATTTTAGCACTGCTTAAATAGCAATACAATAACACTAAAATAACATAAGCAAGTACCTGTAGTCATATGTAACCACAAGGAATACGGGAACCAGTATACATAGAGCCATCTTCCATTAAATTAATAATTTAACTGTTTTCCTCATTAAGAGTGACAGTTATTGTGACCACCACCAAGGTCCTATGGATCTATACCCACATTCCTTTTATACTTGTCACATCTCCAGCGCATCGATAAGAGCTATATTCAATTTTCTTTGTTTATTAATTCACATTTATGTTTAATCCGGACTGTACGACTGGCTCTTTTAGGTAAGATTTGTATTTTAATTATTGTTTAACTTTTAGTTTAATTAAAAGTATTTTTATGTTATTATTAGACAAAACGGATTAGTATACTGTAGATGTATAATACTATACTTTACTGTGTTTTAGTTATACAGTTAATAGCCCTTTGCTTAGGCAAAAGGCCAAGAGAAGGAAAATGTTGAAGGACGTTTTAGGCAAAAGCAGTTATGTTGTGCTTGGCTACTGTAAACCCGTAAAAAATTCACGCATGAAACTCTCAATAGCATTTCTAGTGTTCTAGGATTGGATTATTTCATCATAAAACAAGCACAGGAGCATATAAGTATATAACACCAATAGAGAATTTCATAATAATCCTTAAGTATTTCTGCTGGTTTCCAAAGGGGTTCTTGTGAATCATTAATAAACAATATGACAAATTACATAAATACATTAAGAAACCTATAATAAATAGAAACATTTCATTTGTTTAAACAAATTTTAAAATGTTCAATGAACAACGATAATAAAGATATTGCGCCATAGCCGTCTGATGCATTCAGTATTGGTAGTCCGGCCATTATAAGAGCAGGTTATCACTAGGAATGAACTAACAGAAACGGAGATGGGTAGGGGTGGGCTTTTTTATTTTTAGATATTCAGAAATGTGCTCTTCCCCTATTGCTGTGACAGCGCTGTGTTAGATCAGCAGCTACAAAGTCTCCGCTGTTTGTTCATTTATGTCCTACGAGTGTTCGCTTGCTTTTCCATTCCTGACATTGAGTATTGCTTTCTTTTTTAATGCTGCAGTGCTTGTGTTTTTTTTCTATTTTTGCACATTTTATTCACTTTTTTCTTGTCTTTTTGCCCTGTGACTGATCTAGGCCCAGCCTGATTATTAGCTTGTGAGTTTCCAAGCACCTTTGGTTACCTTTGGCTCTCTACTATTGCTGTATTGTTGCTTTTTTGGTTGGCCTAGCTATCTTGCTGGTCAAGCCTTTTGATATGCAAATTGATCATTGTTCTATTGTGAGTGTGTGTGTGCTTTATTGGTAGCTGTGTACCTGTTGCTATTGTTTTACCATGGTTCTACAATACAACTTCTCTCTGCTCTTTTCACTTAGAAAACTTGCTTCTAAAGTTATACCTGGTTTTTCAGTTTTAACATCTAGTGGACTACTTCAGATGCGAGGCAGACGTGCTGGCGCTCGTTCACACAGGTCATTTGCTCGGCAACAGGTAGATAATAACCTTTTTCATTCATATGGTAGCAATCATGCTCTGCCCAGCTCCATTCTCAACCATTCAAGTGTTGAGAAACTAACTGTTAGGCATTGGAATGCTCACTCTGTCTGCAATAAAACATGGTACGTATGTATGTGAATACATTATCGAAAATTCTATTGATCTTATGTTTCTTACTGAAACTTGGCTTGCCAAGGATGACATGACTAAAATCGGTGAGCTGACTCCCCCTCGCTACACCTTCATAAATATTCCCCGCTATTCACACACACATGTTCATCATGGTGGTATTTGTATTCTTTTCGGAAATACCCTTAAACTCCAACCTGTTGATATTGACATCACACACATCATAACTTCATTTGAGTATGCAGCCATTTCAAATGTTTCGAGGTCATTTTTCTTTGTTGTTATTTACATGCCTCCTCCATCTGCAAGCAAGGAATGGATTACTCACCTCTGTGTTTCTCAGAGAATTCGATGAGTTTATTGACACTGTCCATTTGCTGCCCGGGAAACTTTTTAATGTGGGGGATCTGAATGTTCACTTTGATCTTCCGTCTAAACCTGATGTTGCTCCTGTACTGGCATCTCACTCCTCTTCTGATCTTGTCCAGCTTGTGACCAAACCCACACAAGTACATGGACACATACTTGATCCACTTATTACCAGATCTGTGGATACGTTTATTATTGATCATAGCATACACTGTAACCACCATTTAGACCATGCTGTTGTCTGTGCTAACATTGCTCTCGGCAGGCCTAAATGTACGTTCCAAGGACTGTTGATAGACCTTATGGTAACATTACCCATGGTGAGTTTGGTCCTGATCTTACGCGTGAATTAGCTGTTGTATCAATCTCAGGCAAGTCATCTAATGACATTATGGCTGATTTTGATAACTCCAACTTTAACACTGTTTCTCATGAGGATATCTCAAAAGTGATTGGTCGGAGTCCATCAAAGTCGTGCTGCCTTGACCCACTTCCTGTGTGGCTGCTAAAACAATATTTGTCATCTGTACTCCCAATATTGACTGAACATGTTAACTCATGTTTGTCTTCTGGAGTTTTTCCTGACTCCCTTAAACATGCTGTTGTCCAACCCATACTGAAAAAACCCAGTTTTGATAATGCTATCTTGATGAACTATCGTCCTGTTTCCAATTTATCCTTTTGCTCAAAGCTGATTGAAAGAGTGGTAATTAACCAACTCAATAAATATCTAGAAGATTACCAACTCTTTGAACCATTACGGTCTGCCTATAGGTGTCACCATAGCATTGCAACCGCTCTACTTAAAGTTTATACTGACATTGCTCTTACAGTTGACAAAGGCAAGGGTGTCATGCTTGTCCTTTTTTACCTCTCTGCTGCATTTCACACAGTAGATCATTGCATTCTGGTTAAACGTCTTGAATCTGTTTTTGGCATTACTGGGTGTGCCCTTGAATTGATTAAGTCCTACCTATGCTGTAGAAGTAGTAGGGTTTCTATTTCTGGTTCATATTCTGCCCCATATCCCCCACTCTATGGAGTGCCCCAAGGTTCAGTTATTGGCCCATGTTTATTCAGTCTCTACATTTGCCCACTCAGTGATATTATCAGGCATTATGGCATTCAATTCCACTTTTACGCCAATGATCTTCAACTTTATGTCACTTTTGACCCCAGTAATGCTAGCAGCACTGTCTCCACTTTACAGACCTTTCCCTCTGTGTTGCTGATATTCATCAGTGGTTTTTAGGCAACAAACTGAAGCTGAACGAAAAGAAGACTGAGTTTTTGGTTTGTGCCTCTAAGAGTCATCTTTCCTTAGATCATGTTAAAGGTTTAAGCCTATTAATAGGGGACACCATTATTTATCCTTCCGGAAGTGTCCGCACTCTTGAAGTGACTATTGACTCGTCAGCAGGTCTTAGCCTACAAGTATCTAATGTTAGCAGGGCTGTTAAGTTCCATCTAAGAAACTTATGGAGAATCAGAAAATTCATAGATAGTGATACCTGCCATGCTGCTGTTAGGGCACTGGTTCTTTCAAGAATCGACTACTGCAATTCACTGTACTGTGGCCTGTTAAAAAAAGATTTATATACCCTGCAAAAACTTCAAAATTCTGCAGCTAGACTTATTTTTTCTTGTAAGTCACGTACACATACATCTCCCCTTATTCGTGATCTCCATTGGTTGCCTGTACAGGAAAGAATTCAATTCAAACTTCTCTTTGTTTTCCAAATCACTTTCTGGCGTCTGCCCTTTGTACATATCCAATTACATATCACTACGTACCCATGTGTGCTTAATAAGATCTTCAAACTCCATCCAACTTGTTTGACCAGTCTACCATAAACGTATTGGTGACAATTCATTCCCTTCAATTGCTGCCCAACTTTGGAATGGTCTGCCTAATTCTCTCAGATCCTGTGATTCGCTTAGGTAGTTCAAAGCACATCTAAAACACACCTTTTTCAATAGTTCCTCTCACCTAGCTTGATCGTTATTGTTTTCTTTGTTTTCTTATTTTTGTACTGCTTTATTGCATTAGTTAAGTTAGCTCACATGGGTTTGGTTCTTTGCAAGCTTTACTCGGGGGGATGTTTCAGACTTATTGTGGAGAGTCGCTCACAGCGCTTCGTAACTGAGAAGAAAGGCGCTATACAAGTAACAAGTATTGTTCTATATAAGAATAAATTCTTGGGACCTGGATATTGTTGAATACACAATCTTCATAGAATAAAAAGGTTTGCCTAAACCGGGGCAAGTAGAACCCATTATATCTATCAATTTGATCATAAATTAAGTACCGGATACTTAATTAAATGATAAAGATTACGATATGGTTGTGAATTTAGTGTCCATAACAATTCAATATGGTTGTCATGTACAATAATGCTTGTTAGTACATGCATTTTTTGAATGCCTGCATTATTTAGATGCTATTTAGTTCGTCGTTATTAAAATGACTTTTATCGTCATAAATTTTATCGGACTGTTGTTGATTGTAGCGTGGGCGTTTCAATATATTGTGTGGTTCAAACATAATTAAATTACGTTAAATTTCATAAGCTTCATGCTTAATTTCTTTAAAAAGTTATACTTCGGTAAGTCTTTTTATTGCTGATGTCTTTATTGTATTTCATTTTATATTCTTAGTGCCTCTGTTAAGGAGGTGATATTCAATACCTGTAAATCGAATTATTGCTGTTTGAATACCGTCATCTTGGTCACAATCATTGTCGATGTACTTGCGTACTAAAAACTCAACGTGTTTGGGCTAGTTGAGCATATACAATAGAACCGTAGGCCTATCATACTATTTAAGCCATCCATGAGCATTGATGTGGTATTACTGTATTTGTTTAATTGAGGGTTTGATTTTGACGTGTATATGTAAACTAAATTATCAGAAAATGGATTGAACTCTAATTATGTTATTATTGCGGTATGGTATTTTTGTTGAGCAATCCGATACTAAAACGAAACAGTTGTCAATATACATTTGAAGTTAATTGGTAATAAAAACGCTGACAGTATAATAAATACAGTACTACAGTGCAATTTTATTACAAATAGACAATGCCGAATGAGGAAGTACACAACAACTATACTATAACAACCACATAATTTGTATGTATGTTATTCTCAATCATGTACGAACTTCAGCGTACTTCTATTAGTCTCTGTACTGTAATTGCTATAGTAGTTTATGTGATAAAATCGGTACATATGGATGGTATAGAATGCTACCCAGCCCAGGTATACGCAGTAGTTGGCGATAGTGCTAAAATAGAGTGCTTTCTATTAGTTACAGAAACGATGAACTATAAGCAAGCGCCAATTGTAACTTGGATTAAAAATGATGATCTTAGTTGGGAAAAGGATAATGTATACCCTTCATCAACACGTCAATCGGATCATGTTTACAAGTTTATGTTATATTTCCAGAACTTAACACTTGATTACAGTGGTTCATACATTTGTCTATATTCATATGACTCAAGTATAGGTAAATCCGATTCTATTGAACTTTATGTGCAGCCTAAGCCCATGAAGCCTATCTGCTATTCAGGTAAGGCGTATTATATTAGCGGAGAGAACGTTACTTTAGAGTGCCAGGTATTTACTTATCACAAACTTCAGTTAAACTGGGAAGAGTCACTGCAACAGTGCAATACCTATAACACAAGCAAAGAAAATGTAACTACAACAAAACTGCATTTTGTAGCAGATACTAGAGTAAATGCTTTGGAATTTACGTGTGTCATGCATTATAAGATCGGAAAATCGCAAGGTCGAATGTTTTGTAATTTGCGAACTGTAATAAAAACACACTTGAGTGTCGAAATTAAGAAAACTGTCATAAAGTTTGGTCAACCAGCAATACTAGAGTGTGTAACTCATGGTAAAGAAAATCCGCCAAAAATGGTTACTATAAATGAGAATCGTACCGGTACTTTAGCAAGTAATCGTAGTCCTATAATAAACTCCACATTAAATTCTAGCATAAAGGATGATAAAGTTAAAATCCAGTGGTCTTCAGAAAGCTTAGTACTGGATAACACGATTGCAGAGAATAGAAATCATACCCTGATTATTCCAAATTTCACAGCAGAAATCAATGGATCGCTTGTAACCTGCACCGCAAAGAGAAACGATTCCGAAGGGTCCGCCTCAATCGTACTTATTGAAGACAAACATTGTAATAATTCAAGCGTTTCCACCGAGCAGTCAACAACAAAAGAAATTAATAAAATGCTAAGTAAACCAGTTGAAAGTACAAATACTATTGATTCAGATGAATTCGGAGTCGTATTAGGAAATGCTGGTATTTTCCTTGCAGTGATAATAGTCGGAGCAATGGTATCTACTTGTGGGATCGGTTTTTGCTGTCTGTATCTCAAAATAAAAAGACTTATAAGACACCAGGGCACCGATAATATATCTACCGAAAGTAAACGTGATGGCACAAATGTTCCCTTGAGTCATACCAACAAAAGTTACCAAATACCACTACCTGCCTTACCATTACCCTATACCCCGGTAGGGGGTGCGAAAACTACAAACACCAAAGAGTTTCTCGATGACCACATATATCACGATCATCTTAGTTCCGGATCTGACGAAAATTCTGTTGCACTGAAGATAAATCATAAAGTTCACCATATATACCACCGCCGTATAAGTATAGCTTCTAACACAGATTCACATTCAACAACACCACATTTTGCTAATGGTGAAGGTGATCGTGTATGCCAGGACCACTCAAGTACATGCTCTGGTATCGACCAATCAGATAGAGGCATAAGTGATTCACCGATGGGCAGTCTACCTGTCACACCTGGCGAAATACTTAAAGAGAAATCGTATTATATTGAGATTGAATGAGTTTTCTCTCATCTGTTTGCTCTGAGAACCCGGAATAGGTAACACCATGGTAACACACAGTACCTCATTCAATGATTACACCACCGCCGTATAAGTATAGGTTCTTATACACAGATTCACATTCAAACAACACCACATTCTGCTGATGGTGAAGGTGATGTGTATACCAGGAGTACTCAAGAACAGCGCTCTGTTATCGACCAATCAGATAAAGGCATAAGATGAGAAATCTGTATGGCAGTATAGTAAATTACTGTATAGCTCGCATTCAAATCTGTGTACCGTATACTCGCCCGAATAAGCGCCCGTTTATAAGCGCCTCTCTCGAATAAGCCTGAGAAAATTTCCTTAAGCGCCCAGTTTGAATAAGCGCCACCTTCTAATTTGAATAAGCGCATCAAATCATAAGATTTTATTTTTAGCATGTCAATAATCCAATC